GTAATGATTAAAAATTATAAAATATTTTATGAGACAATGCTTCTACTAAGAATGGATGGCTGAAAAAAAATAAATACAATAATGAAAATTAAAAGAAAAATGGTTTATACGTCTAAACTTTCTATACAATAGAAGATGAATTAATTCTTCAATTACAAATTATTTAAAATTTATATGCATACAGTGATAGATGTCCATGAAATCTCTCAAAAATTAAATAATTGTTAAAGAGAAAAAAGTAAAAAAAAAAAAAAAGAAAAAACTTCTTTGATATAATTCCTGAACGGTCGTCTACATTGAACAAAATAATAGTCTAGCACGAAGAAAATCAAGTCTACCATGTATTTGTATATGTATATTAAAGAAACCGTATATATAATCATATAATAAATAGATGGTAACAAAAGAAAAATTTTAAGTGAAAAGGATTATTATCACGTAAGGCGCAAAGCTCTTCTAAGCTGCTGCTTCCATTATATCAAGAGAAGCTAAATTTTCGATTTGTAAGAACTCGTTTTTCGAGATTACAGTAGCCGCGAGAGGAAGAGGGACTGAATTTCGGATGATTCACTCCCATAGTGGAGTTTTGAATTTTAGAAGATTGAGTGTCTAATTGGTGGGCCTGGAGCTTGGAGTTAGCGGGCAGGAAACAACGTTTGTTGAATTGAAAAATTGAAAGAAACGAAATTAACTTGCACGGACTGATCGGTAGGTAAAGGAGACATTCATATTAATATACATCGATGCATATATGCAGTCAGCTTGGTAATTTTTCTACAAACATGAAATTCGAAATGGATTTGTCGCGTCATGACCGTTAGTCGTCCCCACGACACTGTTAAAGCAAACACACGCGGGACCAGCTCATCCACGTGCTCCGCAGGTGAGCGCATTCTCGTGGGATTCAAGAGAGCGATGGAGAGAGCGATAGTGAGAGAGAGAGAGGGAGAGAGAGAGAGAGAGAGAGAGAGAGAGAGAATAGACAGACGGCGGCGGGCGATGAGAGACCACCGTATATGGACGGCGCAACGCTTTGGGCACCTCCTCCGCGCATAGGAATATGGGCGATTGCTCAGTCGCTGTTGGAACACGGAGATCATTAATAAAACAGAGCTTCGGTTGTTGAGAACGAGAGGGACTTTTAAATCGGATGTGAGACTGGACGATCGGCGCTTCGCTGTCAGGTGGTTCCTCCTCTTACATACTCCACACGATTGCCGAAGCGCCAATTACGAAATGTTGGATAACGGGGATTGGGATAGGAGATTCGGGCTTTTATACAGTCTAATGCTTCTTTCCGCTGACAATTGTCTGATCATTTTCGAGATTGGGAAATTGGAAATTTGAATTATTGTTGAATGAGCGGAGGTAAATAGTTTTTAAATGACGCGTTGCAATTTTATAATGCGATTGTTGAATGAATTGGTCTTTTGAAAGCCCAATGGATGACGCGTTAGTAAAGCCGTAATTATTTTCATATGTTAATAGCCAAGCAATGCGTAAGGCTAAAGTCGAATGCTGTAATTTTTAGTTTAAAGTTTATGAAAGGGATATAAATACTCCAGCGATATCGATAATTCTTTTAAATGGCCGTATTTAAAGACGTAATAAATAAAATGAATACTTTATGCTGAAGGTGATAATAACTAAATAACTAAGTTTGTATTTGTTGGTAAAACAAACTAGTGTAATCAGGTGAATTTCATTTTCTTTTGATTTTCTTTCTCTCATTTTTATTTTTTACTAAAATCAATTGTTATTTATGGGAATTTTTATCGTCTATTAAAGCGTTAAAATGATGATACTGGCAACGGAAAGGAAAAACTCGCTGATAATTGTTTTGATTTTTGTTACAAAAGGATTATGTAACTTTAGGCAAGAATCATTCTATAAATATCAACATTAACTCAATATTATTGAAACATTTGTATTATATATATATATATATATATATATATATAATCTATATATCTGTTTATGTATGTCAAATCAATTACGAAACGAACTTAAATAAATAATTTGAAAATACTAAATAAATCGAAAACCACTTAACGCACAAATTGTTATACATTGAAAATTTTCTTCAAATGGAGTATGTCATTGTATGTTACAAAATTGTATATACACGTACTACCTATATAATTGCACATGTGTAAGATTTGTCTTATGTACATGTACATACATATATTATATGCATTTTCTTGGAGTCTATCGTAATGTAAATACAATAAATTGTTTGTTAAATAATGATAAATAATGCTTACACGATGATGGATATTTGGCTTATAACAACTTGTTGCTTACCAATTATTTCGTTTTAATAAAGAGACAAATCGTAAATACAAAAACATTTATGCAATATTTAAATGTTGACATGATATATTATATAAGCAATTATTAAATGAAATACTTGAAACTTTATTGAAAATACTGTACGAACGGCATTAATAAAGCTCACGTTCCCAAGCGTTTTAAATATCTAATATTTTATCTCAGCAAATATTATTTTACGTGTATAAGTAAACGTATGATTTTATGCAACTTATACGAATGAATTAAACTTATAATTACTTAAAAAGTATGTATATATATATTACGATATTTTATGAATAGATTTTGCATTGAAAGAAAAATTTTTATTTAAATCTTCTTACTTTTAAAGTAAATTGAAATGTATCTATGAATTTAGAAACTCTTGTTGGCAAATCGTCGATAAAGCCAATTACTTCACGAAGGTTAATATTTTACACCCACTATAATGGGATACTAGAACTATAAAGCCAAAGCTGCAATCACTGTACATCATTTGTGATTTTGCAATTTTCTTATCAAAGAGTGATTGAAATATATTAGAGATTCGCGTTACTATAGAAAATGATTCCTCTATATACTCTGCATATATATATTTTTTTTTTTACATATACTCGCACTTTTCATTTTACATATACGGGCACACTCGTTGGTCACTCCCACAGGCATGCAAAGCAGAAGAAACCTAATTTGACTATTCCATAATCGTTGGCAATTTTTCAAGTATTTACAGTATAAATGTGTATTTTAATTCTATCGTGTGTTTGCTCAAGACTTTATTAATGCCTTTGGTTATTAAACAGGAAATTTAGTAGAGCATAATTAATTGATTTTTATTTTTGTAATTAATGAAATAATTCTGATTTGAACATGTTAGTGTTGAGTCTATTAATCTTACATCTGTCGCATAAAATTAATGCAATAATATTGTATTCTTTTGTAATTCATAATAATTTGGTAATATCACGATTGCCTTCGTGAATTAAAGGAAAATAGTAAAATTCTTTTAAGATAAGAATTCATGATCTACAATGTGTAACTTAAATGTTTACTCAATCGGTAAAATAAGTCTCTCCCGTTATATGACTTTAATATGGACTGTGAAAAATGTGTTGAACGAGTTTTCCCACATCGTGCACGCGGTAGCTCATTGATTCACTTAGAGAAATCAAATAGTTTCTAATGCAATGGAAGGGCAATTGTAGGGTCACTTGTTTTATACAATATGAAATAGAGAGATAGAGAGCGCGCGCGAAGGAGGGCGAGTTGGTGAGGGTAAGATAGTATGACACGTGAATCAGAGTCGAACTCGAGCAAGCATGAGCGAAAGAGGCAAGAATTTACGCTTGCGCAGAGCGAAGCGACGATTCACCGTTCAGTGCGCATGCGTCCTCGATCCCTTACTTTCCTCTACCTCGTCTCCTTCCAGCCGCGATCGTACAAACTGCACACATGCATGGGGCACGCCTTCTCTTCTCCCCCCACCATACCTTTTTATATATTATTGCCGTCTCTTTCGCTCGTTCACTTGCGATGCGAAATATCCACCCCCACTACAAAAATCTCAACGTTAGACAGCGTGAGAGAGAGAGAGAGAGAGAGAGAGAGAGAGAGAGAGGAGTCCGCACCAACACTATGTCGATCCTTCGTACGCATTGACACAAAGCCATACAAACACGCGCGCACGCACTCTTTATCTCTCTCTCTCCCACTCTTGCCGGTTCTCGCGATCAGATCGGGGCGTTTTTCCCGTCTACAAGCCGTTAGCCGACGGAGACACGCGGCGCAGTTGAGTCGAGACTTTCGTACCGTGTGGAGAGGGAGAGTAAGAAAGATAAACCGACAGTGCGAGCGGCGTACACAGAGTTAAACAGACGTAGAGAGAGAGAGAGAGAGAGAAAGAGAGAAACGCAGCGCCAGGCAGCAGTCAGAGGCCTCGCGCGCGAACACGTAGCACACAGAAGAGCTTTTGGTACGAAGAACGAGTGTTACCAGAGGTGACCGGAGTTTCATATAACACGATCACCGAAGACAAAGATACCTGGGATCGAGGGCTGATCCCGTCAGTTACACGCGCGTTAAATTCTTCTCTCCGTGGTATCGTGTAGGTGATTGTGCCGTAACCAGTTCGTCGTCGTCGTCGTCGTCGTCGTCGTCGTCGTCGTCGTCGTCGTCGTCGTCGTCGTCGTCGTCGTCGTCGTCGTCGTCGTCGTCGTCGTCGTCGTCGACGTCGTTGTCGTTGCTGTCGTCGTCATCGCCGGCACGCAGCAGACATCCACCGACAGAAGGGACCTCAACGATCGAAGAGCTTCTTGGACTCATACTTCCAGAAGCACGCGAGTGCGATAATACGAAGGCCGTGGCCACGCACACGGCGCCCCGGTCGTTGTGTCGCGCCTTGGTTGAGGCTCCTCCTTTCGGCATCCCGAGCCCTACCTCACCGCCGCCCATGCAGCTTCACGCGGGTAATCGAGGTTAGGAAGTCCAACGCACCGAGGAGAAGCCAGTGCCCCGTCGCTCTTCGACGACACGCGATTATTTTCGAGGAGGCGCGCCTTCGGCACGGCAGCGAACTAAGAGAGAAGGAGAGTCCGAGAAGGACCAGAGAGATAGATAGAGAGAGAGAGAGAGAGAGAGAGAGAGAGAGAGAGAGAGAGAGAGAGAAAGGGGGGAGTAAGACATAAAACGATTATCGAGCAGAGAGAAGAAGCTATCGCGATGTGCGACAACACGAACACGACGACGCAGAGTATAGCGGACTACCTGTCGCAGCTGCTCAAGGACAGGAATCAACTAGCGGCCATACCCAACGTCTTCATGCACGTCGAACGGCTCCTGGACGAAGGTAAGATTCCGCCTTTGGCTTCTTGCTCTCGTGCGCTTTCTCGTTCGCCCCATTCCAAAGTAGTTAAAACTTGACCTGAAACGATAAGTAGCCAACGAAGAGGAGGTGGCAGCGCCGTTGGTGGTGACGGTAGCAGTAGCCGTGTCAGTAGCTGCCCCGTCGTTGTCGTCGTCGTCGTCGTCGTCGTCGTCGTCGTTGTCGTTGTCGTCGGTAGTAGCGACTGCGGCGTCGGCGACTGATAACGTGCGGAGAGGGGGAGGGGCAGACGAGGTGGTGACGGAGAAGAGTTGTTTTCAAAATGATACGCGCCTTATGCAAATGCATTCGTCTTCTCATGCTCTTTCGTTTTTATAATAAATGTCACCCATTTTATGACGATTTTCGCGATAGTAAATCGTCGACGCGAATGATACGGTACGCGTACACAGCGAGATTCTATTTTCGTCCGTTACACAGTTTTACGTTGAAACGTTCGCACTCCGAAGCACTTTGGGTAAATATTTTTCACGAATAAAAATAATAGAACCGGTCACCGATATTCCCCATATCCTACCAACACACGTACCCTCCTCGTCTACAACCATACCTCCCCCGCCTCTACCGCCCCTACCGCCCCTTACTCCTTCGCAGCCGTAACAAAAGTCGGCAACCGGTGCTCGCGCTCGGTCGCGATATTTATTGTTTATTACATAATTTAAATAGGTGGCTGGCTGTAACGGGCGGCCGATCGACTAATTAACATCTTCGCGGCGAAGTAATTGCTGCGCGGACGAGTCTGTATTTTAGCTCGGCGGCGCGCACGGATTTGGCGTTAAATCGGTGAGCAGAGAGCGACGTTGTTTGGTTGGTCGCTCAACCTCGATTCACCTTAGCGGGGCCGAGGAGGGCCGCGCTTGGCTTGCACGGTTCTCGAAAAATCGGCCGGCCGAGGTGGAGGAATAGGAGGATAAGGATAAAGATAAAGACGCGGGGAAAAGCAGAGTTCGCGAGTGCGACGAGGGTCCGCAAGTTTATTTTTTTTTTTCGTTTTTTTTTTCTGACGGGGTTTGGCGTAGAAGGGGTACGCGGGAGGGGCACGCGGGAGGGGCAAGAAAACAAAGCCGGTCACGCCAAGTTCAGAGGCGCGACAGGAGTTTCGGGCGAGAGGATAACGTTGTTTTTCATTGGGCGGCCCGACCCGGGGGACAAATATAGTGCGCGGGAATCCGCGGAATCCGAGTCAGGGGGACGACGTCGGCTTTCCTCCTCCGCTCGCTTCGGCGCGACGTTGCCGCTCCGGGTGAGCGCGAACCGCGTCCGTTTTTCTTTCTTTCTTTCTTTCTTTCATTCTTTCTTTCACTGTCTTTCTCTCTGTCTTTCGTTCCTCCTTCCCTTCTTACTCTCTTTCTTTTTTCATTGTGTTTTCTTCTTTTATTTCTTTCATTCTTTCTTTCTTTTTTGTTTTTGTTTGTTTTTTTTGTTTTTGTTTTATCGGAGCCCGGTGCCGGTGTCGCTTTTTGTTTACATATCTACGATTAGCGCACTTTCGACGGGCCGACGGCACGCTGCTCGGCTCGATCGACGCGGGCGCTCGATGAGCTTCTCGTCCTTGTTTAAGAGGAGAGAAGCGAGCGCCAAGGACGATATCGTTATCGGCGCTCGAACTGCCAACTTTTAAAATCACGAGGTCAGACTATTTTCGTCGGCTGCATTAACGAAAAATTATTGCGCTAACGTGTTCTTTCGCGAGCATCGACACTGCTAATAAGTGCCGTTATGGAGGAGGGAGGAGCTTTAATGCAGCCATTAGAATAATTATTTACGGAAATACAAATAAGGATAGTATTAGGCATAGACGGAGAGATTATTATTTTTTGCTCCGACAATTTTACGGTGCACCAAGATTTTTTTTTACCCATTTTCTAATAACTCAATTCTGCACGTAGTTGCATGAGGGGGGGGGGGAGGTGTAAGCGTATAAATATTTATAGTGATAGCTTTGAGTTTTTCGAAAAGTGTAAGAGGGGCCATAGCTATCGAGCGAATCCGTTACTTAAAATCCGTTAAAAAATTTTCTCTGTTGCATTTATGATAGGACCTTTGATTTTGTTTCTTCCTGTTTTATTAGAGATAATTTTCTGCGATGGCCTAGGAGGGAAACGGTAAATTTTATTGAAATTCACTGGATATTTTTGAATTTTGCCGTAAACAGACGAAGAGCATTATTATAGTTATTCAAATTATTATGCTCAGCCCAGAGATTGTTTACCCCTCGTAATAGTTAAATAATTTTTTTCGTCGTCGTCGTCGTCGTCGTTGTTGTTGATGTTGTTGATGTTGATGTTGATGATATTTTAATTCTTTGTAAGCTGCAATTTGTACATTAAATGATAATCAAAAGCATTATATTTGCCCCTAATGTAAGGATAAAGCTTGTTTGTTGATTTAGAAGCGATTGATTATTATCGAGCGAGTAACTTTCAATTTTGGAAACTTGGTAAAGTTAGTAGGGATAGTAAACCTGCTAGAGACAGTTTTGTTTTTATATTGATTGTACGTAAATAAATATCTAATTCCAGCAGTTCAATTTCTCCGAATGGTCTCAACGGCTGCATAATATTTTCAGTTTTTCTCGTCGCGCTATTCTGTCTAGAGGCTGATTTACTGCTAATAAATTCGCGTGTTAATGATGAAGCATTATAGGCGTAAATCGATAGTTGCCGAAAATAGAAAATAGATAAGTTGACGAAAGCCAGTAATTATAATAAGATTCTTTTGTAATTCGGCCGGCATCGGCGAATTAGACAGAGATTGTTAATTATAAAAGCTGCCATTTAATCAATGTAATTATTAATGGCGAACAATTTACAGGCAACGAATAATGTTTAATGCGCTCATGAATGCCTATTATTCACAAAGCCCAAGAGATGCTTTTAATTAAGCGTGTGGGTGTAATTTCGCAAATGTAACTCCATATATCCAAGACCAATCGATCGAGCATTGTATTTATTTAAAAACAAAAAACAAAAAACAAAAAACAAAAAACAAAAACAAAAACGCCATATATAAGACGACGGATGTGCTCATTTTTCAAACACGATGAAACATCGTCCCGTCTTACTATGTACATTCTCCTCGGCAACTTTGTATATTAAAGCTTGAGTAAAAGTTCAAAATATAGCGAAACAAAGTCCCCCATTATGACCAATGTATACGAGATAATATCCTTATTATAAGAACAGCACGATAGACAGCGATTTTATAATTGAAATACTTTATAGAACGAGAGAGAGATGGTGGTTTATTAAACGATGAGCAGCGGATCTTTCAAGAGTTATCGTTCCACATATTAATGCAGATATAACGTTAACGTATGACCAAGTTGCTCGAGCGAACGATTTTCAAATCTTTATTTAGCTTGGCGCAATTATTTATTTTCCACCTCGGCATAATGAAACTAAAGTCGCGCGTAACCTTCAATTTAAGCACGTAGAAATCATGCAAATACGTAACAGCCATAATACATACTATTTGCATTCGTTATGAAACATCGGACTGCATTATTTATTAGTATATAGTACATGTTTTCACATTCAGGGCGGATTAAAAGCTTCGGAGCCAATCACGTCGTCCCCCCCCCCCATTCCACCTACCTCTCCCGCAAGTCGTTCAGTCCCCTCTCCACATCCACGATCCTCGCATTGCGATCGTTCTCGCGCGAAAAAACAAACGACCGCAGCTTCGTCGAGGAAAAAGCATGTTGCGTTATGTTGGGCCGGCGGGGACATGAGGGGACGCACGATCGCAGCCCCGAGGCATTGGTGACAAGTGGTGGTGGCCTAATGGATGAACGGCCGACCGGAGTCGAACTCTTAATCGTCATCGTAAGCCCGTCGTAAGCTCGTCGTAAGCCCGTCGTAAGCTCATCGTAAGCGCATCGTAAACCGTGCGCGCACACCACCGTAATAGGTTCTGCGCGCCCGCGGTCGTTGCGTCACTCCACTACGTTCTAAAATGGCACTACGTTGTAAAACGCGTCTCGCTTCACGATCCCCCATCTTTCTTGTGCCTCCCCCCCCCCCCCCAGCCCCTCCC